AAAAACATCAGGAGCCGACTCGATAGAGTTTAATGTCATACCCAGGGAAGGGCACAGATCTGTTTTGAAAGGTGGCGGGAGAGGAAATTTTGTGAGTCAACACGCACCTCAGACCCACCATGGTTGGAGCTGAGGTGAGAAAATGTGAGGAAACAGTACCTCTAGATCGACGTTCCGCAAACTATGGTCCGCGGCCCAAATTTGGCCGAGAAACATTTTTAGAGGGCCGCGAAGCCGTCAGGAAATTGAAAAAAAAAAATAACAAAGAGACGTTTTATCATGGAGAAAATAGTTTTTAATAAAGCCGCTTCACTGTTACAGCGAACGAGTCGCTTGCACACGCTGCTAAAGTGCCAGATGATGCGTGCTATTTGAATAATTATAAGCGGTTTTGTGTCTATGCCCACTCGGGAGCCTTTATCTGTATATTTATTCCTTATAGTGCTAGTATGCAACATTATTTTCTATAAATAAATATACTGTAAATATACCTTTTTTAAGAATTAAATACATGTCAAGCGCGGATCCAGAGTTTACCCTGGCTCGCACAGATGGCTTCCCATATTGGGATGGTCATGAGAAGAGAGCTGCTTGTTTTGTCGCTGGAAGATAAATTTTAGATTTTCGAAAAGTTTTTGTTTTCTAGATTCTTTGAAATACACTTCGTGCATTATGAGACGTCTATTATTGAATACACCCTGAATTCATATTTTTTTCACTACTTTGCTATGGACAATTAATAATTATGATGATGAAGAAGATGATGATGATGAGGAGGAAGCTGTGCAAGATTAATTAACATGCCCTTTTTGTGAAGTGTCAAGCGAGGCCGGTAGCCTAAGTTACGGTTGGGAATGTTCAATGCACACAGTCGGACAATGATGATTTATGATATCTGTTTTGTATAATAATCTGAAACCCATAAAATATCAGTTCAGGTATTCATTTATCTGTATGGGGAAAATATAACATATGGACCATACAAAATAAAAAAGAATTCAAATAAAATTTAAAATATGTAAAAAACATCTACACTAAATCAAAATGAAATATTCTCTGCCTGTTGCATCCCAGTTTTAGTATTGCAGGGGTTCTGAAGGCTTTACAG